ATTTACCTTTATGAAGTAGTTAATTTAATTTATGTAAAATTCTAGTCCTACGTAAATGTAAACATTGCAAAAACAGTGCATTGAGTTTATAAAAACTTATTATGAATATGTTAAAAGGTTATTTGCAATACTTTCCCTTACGGCAGTAATATTTTTAATCTAACATACAGTTTTGGGTCTCCCTGAATAAGGTTTATCGTTATCATACCCAATTTCTTAAAATTTATTTACAAGATGTTTCGTTTAGTAATACGTACGAAGTTTTATTTTTACTATTACTTTCAGTAGAGTAAGAGTGTGGCAAAATGCCAGGGTCCCCGGGCCAAAGTGCTCCTTTCGATTTTATGTTTTATTTTTTAAATAAGTACATACTTTAGGGTTTACATAAATTTATTTGCATAAAACTAATGTAACAACCCATCTCCATTAGGAAGGATAGTCCTTTCTTTGAACGTTCTGTCCTTTTTAATATCCTAGAGCTTTGCTCCCGTACATAGGCAGATCAGTGTTATTCAAGCAGTAGGTATACTCCAATATCCAAAAACATTGTAGCTTAGAACAGGAATAGTCAAACCTTCAACATTAACAGTCTTAATAGTGCTCTCTAGAAACAAAATTGCCCTCAAAATTGCTTATTTGCCCCTAAAGTAAAATGGTTTACTGGCATTCCAAGTAAAATGGTTTAATTGCTTTCAAAGTAAAATGGTTTACTGGCCCTTAAAGTAAAACTTTAAAATATTACAATACCAAAAAAAAAAGAGGAGAAGTTTTCCTACACTAAAACTAATAACTAAAACTAAGGCCAAAAAGGTGTGGTAAGTGCAAAATGAAAAAAATTGGGCATATACGAAATAAACCTATAAATGTCAAAAAAGACGTTCTGTTTTAATTTATTACAAAATTTACCAGAAAACAAAAGAAGGTAAGATAGGTAATCAAATTATTGATACAAACAATTATTTTTAATATCACTCCCACAATAAAAATGGCGAATCTTCTTAACTCGATAAAGCTACCACCACTTACTCAGTAAGCGGACTACAACAAAATTATATATATATATATATATATATATATATATATATATATATATATATATATATATATATATATATATATATATTTCACATGTAATAGTGTAGGTACTAATAGTAAAATAAACAGCTACCTTTAAAAAACAAGGCGTACTGAAAAAGGAACAATTGAAATTTTATTGATATGGTGACCGAAACATGACTCAGCAAGAAGTATGTTCATTATTTAATACCACGTTCGAAAAATAACTTTTAGGGTAATTTTTTTTAAGTAGGTACCTAAATAAAAAATATTCTGTCAAAAACCGTATTTTTGTTAGTATACCCTGAAAATTTTGTACAAATCAAATTAACAGCAACGAAGATACAGCGATACAAAGTCCTCAAAAATTACCACTTTCAGCAAAATAATCAAAAAGGGGCCATTTTTACCGACTTTGAAGCGCTGTATCCTCGTTACTGTTCGTTTGATTTGTACAAAATTTTCCGGGTACACTAACAAAAATACGGTCTTTAACAGCATATTGTTTATTTACTTAAAAAAAATTACCCCAAAAGTTTTTTCATTATTAAATAAAAGGGCTTTAAAAATATTTTCTCGAAAAACCCTCGAACACGTAAACTGAAATATAAGTTGAAGTATTTTTATCCAAAATTTCATAAAGAATAATAAAGGCGTTTTAGAGTTAGATTTTTTTACAGGGGTTCCAAAAATTATGGAACACTGTATATTTATTAGTGGTTTTTCGGGATCTTCTCCGTGTTGTCGGTTTTTGGTTCTTAAAAGAACCGTATGTCTAACGACGTTTCGGTACAATCTCATGTACCATCTTCAGGTCTTATCTGCTGGGCTGCTGTTGCTGATCTGCTGCGAGTTAGACATGGAGTGATCTCCATTGCCGCTGATCGTTGTTTATATACCCTCTTAGCTTTCCGCGTCATTAATCGTGACTGCGATTGAAACTGTGTCATGTTCGGCTCCATTGATCTCGTGGCGTTTTGGTGGTTGTAAGACCTGGTTTCCATGCAGTTGGTAATCTCCGTGTATTGTCTCTTGTGTTGAGGTTTCTTGGACGTGTTTCTATTGCTTCACGGATGATACTTTTGGTCCTGTGTTTGATGCTAGCCAAGACCCTTGTTTGTTCAAAGTCAATTTCATGGGAAGTTTTTCGGACGTGTTCAGCTAAGGAAGATGTTTTTTCTTGTTATAAGACTGCGTTACGATGTTCCTCGCTTCAAACGCTGATACGTCTATTGGTCTGTCCCACGTAGCTTCCGTCACAATTCTTACAAGGAATTTCGTAAATGTGGTCTCAATGTTATGTTTTTTGAGAACTTTGCCTATTCTTTCGGTTGTCCCTTTGGCGTAGGGAAGAAAGGCCTTCGAAGTTGGTTTGTTGTTCTGGTCCTCTTTGGTATTTAACCGGTGTCGTGGTCTAAGAGCCTTTTTTATGTTGGTTGACGTCGTAATCGCAGCAGAGCAGCAACAGCAGCTCAGCAGATAAGACCTGAAGATGGTACATGAGATTGTACCGAAACGTCGTCGTCAGTTCTTTTAAGAACCAAAAACCGACAACACGGAGCGGATCCCGAAAAACCACTAATACATATAACGCCCGTGGAAACCCAAAGCAGAATATCTATCATCTTGCCCCCCTCTGGCTGGCGACGTTTGAAGAATTTCTTTTAATTTATTTATATTCTGGTAAAAATGTTAAGTTTTTATTTCAAAGGGTAAAATGAAGAGTGGTAGGTTAACTACCATAGGTATATATTACATGATTAATAATACCCATTAATTTTATTTTTTTACATTTTATAATTATTATTATAATTTAATATTGTAAGTCTTCCTAAAAATTTCGGTATTTATGTAATAATATTATATTACTAGCATTAAACCTATTTGTTTTGGTTAATATGTATATTTTAAACTAAAAAATCGCTTTGTTAATCACAGAATTTCTGCATTAAACTAAACAATAAAAATTGCTTTACTGTAAAAAAATATTCCATACATTTGTGTGTTAAATAGGCATACTTTTTTTATACGCGCACATTTGTTCGAAATTTTTGTTTTAATTTCTGCATTTAGCAAACAATAAAAATTGGACTATTGTAATGCACATTCTATGGCATTCGTTTTACTTTTGCTTACGGGTTTTCCTTAATTTGTATCGATGGAGATTGATTTATATTAGGAGATAATGGCGCGTATCTGCCAAATGGGCGCGGGGATTTATAACTCCGATTAGGGTTGGGGTCAGCCTAGGCCTTTTATGAGATATCAAATACGATTTTTTATGAGTATGATTCCATTATCTTTCACTAATTGAATTTGTTTGTTCGGTTTAATAATATATTTTTTTCTAAATGCTCATTATTTTGTTTATAAATCGCAGTAGGTCATTTGTAAAATTTATTATATTTTAATTTATACACAGGGTACGGCAGAATAAATGAATTATATTCGATAGTAGGTATGTTGCTAAACAAAAGTATGGGTAGTTACAATAAAAAAAATTATGCGACTAAAACTAAAAAACATATTTACTGTTTTTTTTTCAGGATATATACTTAAAGTGTTTTTTAAATAAAAAATAATAAAATATTTTGATATGATTTTTTTATCTGAAAAACCCTAACAAGAACAATAACAATAACTAATGTGTTTTAAAAATATTTTATTTTTGTTTTGGATTCTTTATTATACCTATATTTTGAAGTGTGTATTTTTTACTTGCTTCAGAAGAGAGAAGGGAAATTTATTTTTCTCGAAAACTAGGAATGATACGTAGACACAGTAGACACAAAAGTTATATTTTTAATTGTACCCCATTTTGAAAATATGTATTATAATAAATTAACAAAAGGGATTTACTAAAGGTACAATAATCCATAACTAGTAATTTAGTAATTTTCTCAGATTATGTGGTGCGTGCTTTTGAGAGAAGATATCAAGTAGATGCTATTTATGCCGAATTTTTCAAAGCATTCGACACTGTAAATCACGAAATCTTGATTTTAAACCTTGAGGCCTTGGAAGTCATTGGTAGCTTTTTAAATACCATTTAAGAGCCACTTAAATGGTAGGAATTAAGTAGTACAATTAATTAAATATTTATCAAATCCTATTCTGGTTTATGCAGGAGTGCCGATCTTGATCCTTTATTTTTTAACTGCCTTATTAATTCAAACTACCTACCTTTCGCAGATGATCTAAAAATCTACAAAAAAGTTTCATCCACTCAGGATTCTCAATTAATTCAATATGACCTGCAGAGGCTGACTGAGTTGTGCTTAATAAATGACATAAAACTTAACTTAAGTAAACTGTAAAATAATAAGTTTTACAGATCTAAATCCAATATACATATCGTCGGTTTGGAATCATAGGGTTGTATCTGGACAGACAGCTGTTTTGTGTAAATTAGGATCGAAATTTTAAAATGGTATATCTTTTATCATATGCAAGATACGAGTTTGAATTTTTGCATGGCGAAAGTTATAACCGTTATTTCATAAAAGTTTAAGCGATTTAATTATTGTTTGAATTATTTTCGATGTAGACCTAAGCAGATAGAACTTTGTAACAAACAATTTTTAACATTTTGTGACAACCAAGGTTCTATCTGCCAGATACACCCTTGTTTTATGAAAAGGTAATCTATTTTATATTTTTTATGAATTACGAAGGTTCTAACTGCGAGTTCAAATATAACAATTTTTTTTAATTCAAAATGGAAACATGCAACATACGAACACAAAATAACATTAATAGGGACAAGAAATTTATTTTAAAATACATTTAAAGGAACGAGAAACCTATTTTATAAATAACATTAAAAGGAACGAAAAAACCTTTTTATAAAATATCATTAAAAGGAACGAGATACTTATTTATAAAATATTATTAAAAGGAACAAGAAACATATAAGTTTGTTGGTTAAGTACACATATTAAATTTTAATTAAAACCTAAAAGAGCTTTGTAAAAATCTTGATCCACTTGAGGCATTGCCGTCATCATTTTCTTAATTGCCAAAACTTTTCCAGGGGCAAGTGGTTCTGGATTGGAAAGTACTTTCGGAATAATCGTAGCTAACAAGGGAACTGCATTTGGTTGCGCATCTTTAGACTTTCTACTTCGTATACCTCTTGGAATTGTGTTATAAATACTTACTATTTGAAATTCGGAACAATGGCCTATTTTAAACGATATCATATTTATATCGGATTTTTCAAATTTAAGTTGAGACACTTTTGTAAATGGCACTTTGGCATAATTAAGTTTTGAAGAACATTGCTCAAAATTATAAAAATCAGTTTGCTTCATTTGATGAATTACGAAAGGATTGCCTTTTCGAATTTGTTTGAGTTCTTTAACGAATCCCAATGGAGAGAAAAAATCTTTCTTGGACATATGATTTTCAATCTGGCTATGAATATTATCAACTTCTTGTACCGCACCGTGTCCAGGGATGGAATACTTCATTGTTATGCTTTGCAACTCATCGTGGTTTCTTAAGATATCCAAAGCGCTAAAGGCTATATGTGAATTTCTATTTTGCGGCACACAGCTATCGCTCCATGTAACAAGATGCTCAATATGATTGTTTTCTAAAACCTTTTCCACAAGCACTTTAAAAGCACTAGCCAAGCAATTTCCACTCCTGCCCTGCATAGTTTCCATCCATAAAATACAGTATGCTGTATTACTTGTTGAGAAGTGTCCTGTGAGATTGTACATACTGAGCTTCTGTAAATAAAAATGGTTACCCACATTGGATCTTGGACATGTTATGACATTTTCCAAATCAAACGTTAAAATTGCAGCATTACTATTTTTATCAGAACTCTTCTCCTTTCTCATGACCTCTTTCTCTGTTGTATGGTTTTCCATGTCCAATTCATCACTATTTTTTAAATTATTTTCAGCTTTTATAGTATAATAAGTAGCGCATTTTTCACATACATCTTTTTTCGGAACATGAAAACTATAATTAAAGTTAGTGTTAAAAATAAACCTGTACATGGACAATTTTACAGGTGTAATCTGTTTCGATTCACAATAGATCAAATATAGATCATACATTTTCTTTACGCTGAGAGTGGATTCCAAATAATTTCTTTTTGTGTTTGTCCTACAATAATGGGATTCTACAGCAGGAAATTTATTAATATGGTCAATTACACTTTGTTTGGAAGCCTCATTTATTTTTCTTGGGCTGTTCTTCCCTCTTTGGGATTTTTTAGGGTTATCTGGGCCAACAGCATGCACAGTATAAATTGGCTTTTGTGATATATTAAATGTACCCAAAAAAAAGTTTTTGCACACACGTAAAGATATTTCGCGATTTTTTAAAAAGTATTTAAACGAAAATTGCCTTCTTGACGGACCATATACAGTTTTTCGACATTTTAAAAATTTGGAAGTATTACTTTTCAAAAAAAGGTATTTTTCATTTTGTTTAAGAGAATAATAATAATTAAACAAAGAATTTCTGTCATGTTCAGAAATGTTCTTTGCACAATTAAATTTGCAGTTCTTTAGGCAATTTTTCCTATTTACCACTTTTTTTTCATTGACTTTTTTTCCTCTGGAGCTTGTGTACTGTTTCCCTTCTTGAAACAATTTTTTTCTTATATTTTGTTTCCAAGTTTTCGGATCTGATATCTTTTTTTTTACAATTTTATTTTTCCTATTTGCAGTATTTTCCGAGCTGTTTTCAGTGTAACCAACAATCTCAGCATTCATTACTGGCGTATCTTCAATTTCAATACGGGATTCAGCCTCAGTAGCATTTTCTTCCAAAACGATATCTTGAAGCAGTACGCTGCTTTCAGTATCTTCATTAATTTCAAAAATCATGCGTTCTAATTGCATTTCTGTCTTCTCTGCTTCTGCTAACAGGATATTGTCAGAAAGTCTAAAAATATATAATTATTATACATTATTTCCTTCACTAGTGGTCACCTCTCGGTAGCAACCCTCACCACCACCTAAAGTTTAATCTTACCTATTTGCGGAGGCTGCGCCATTCCCAGTAGAATCTGCATTATTTGATGTTGGTGTTCTACTTGTCCCTTGAATCTCTTGGACAACATTAATACCAGATTCAATATCCCCATTCACAGATTGCACACTTTCCAACGCTAAAATGATTGTATGGGTATTGGTATGGACCAGCAATAATTCAGTTATTAATTAATTTTTGACTTATCAACGTAGTTTTTACTTACCCTTTCTTAAAATTAGTGCTGTTCTTCTTTTCATTTTAACACTAACCGGAATAAAGCACTTTTTAAGTTGTTTTGTAGCAAACGGCAGCCAGAAATCAAAATATAATATATTTTTAGGTTAAGTAACCGTCAATAAAAATCCATAACTCCCAGTTCTATCTCCGCATAGAGCTGGTCATGCAAAGTTCTATCTGCATAGCGCTGGTGATGCGGAGTTCTATCTGCAAGCAGATACACCTCTGTTATACAGAAAACTGTAGTTAGAACTTGGCTTTACGAAAAGGTGCTAAGAAATTTAACAGATAGGACTCTGTATTTAATTTTATTTTAAAAACTAAACGCCAGGTTGCACTAAGAGTATTAAATTTGCATAGGCCTTTGCAGATAGAACCTAAATATATCAAAATCTCGATTTATGCAAAAAGTGCAGATAGAACCTTATGATTCCAAACTGACGATATATTATAATTATAAACTCTTTAGTATTCCGTTAAATAAAGCATTGGAAATTAAAGATCTATAGATCTTTATGCGTATACGTATGTTTGACCCTCAGTTAAACTTTGTAACAAATAAAGCTAATAAACTATTGGGAAAATCGCGTGATTTTGACAGTATTAGCTATGTTAAAATTCTATACTCTTCATTGGTATGATCTCAGTTTGATTCTGTATCTCGGAAACGAAGACTTTTCGGAAACCAGTTAATGGGAATTTTCGACTTATTTTCCTGCAAGGAATCTTACCCTATTTTTTTTAGCAATATTAGTAAATCATTATGTATGTAATTTACATACATATGTTATACATACATAATATATTATGGAATGTATACTATACATTAGGGTGATTTATTTCCGCAAAGTTTTTGTTTTTTTCGGTGCTCAAGCAAAATATTAATCTGCATATAGAACAAAAAATTCTCACCAAGTTTGAGCTCTTAATATCAATTTTAAGTACTTACTATTTAAATTTAAAGTTTTACCGTTTAAAATGCATGTAAAAAATATTCTTTTTTTTCAAATTTCTAATACTTACCCACCTTTTACGTACTACGTACACGATTTTAAGTACTTAAAATTGATATTAAGAGCTCAAACTTGGTGAGAATTTTTTTTTCTATATGCAGATTAATATTTTGCTTGAGCACCAAAAAAAAAAAGAAAAAAATTGCGGAAATGAATCACCCTACTATACATATTATACACGTTCTAAACGTTAGCGGATGCACCAGACTGCTATCCACCAGCAATGTTGACAGATAGTTTAGTTTTTAATTAAAGAATAGTATAGTATATTTAGTTTTAATTTTAATATAGGCGCCTTTTACTCATTGCGGTCGTTTATTTCAACATATTTTAGGTATATATAAATTACAAAATGTTATTGACAGTATGTCTAAATGTGCTTATTTAATTAACATTATTTTCCATATACTTTGCTATGATAATTAATTTTGTCTTTTTATAAAAAATATTTTAACACCTTTACTAGAAGCAACTATTAAAATAAAATAAAATAAATTTATTGTATATAATGGATTTAACACTTAAATAAGTGGTAAAAGAACTAGTTAAAATACAGCCCATTCAGAGTAAAACCGAATATATGAAAACGTTTTGGGCGTGGCCTCGCCTCCCTCCTACGCGCGACACAGTAGCTAAGCAAATAGCCTGCATCGCTAATGATATTTTTTGCATTATAATCATTTAATTTTTAAGGTCGTCTTACCTGCTCGACCTTTCGTCATTTCGTTTATCACATAAGCTACTGTGACGCGCGTTGAAGGGAGACGAGGCTACGCCGAAAACGTTTCCCTATATTCGGTTTTACTCTGAACGGGCTGTATATACATGGCAGACAAGTTTAACATTGCCATAATAGTACTATTGACAAATATTATTAATTAAATTATAAAGATTAAACAAAAAAATGGCGATCAGTACTTAAATTGTTATGTAAATTTACAAAATTTCATACTTAGTAGTTTTTTTATAATTATATGATAATTGTTTTTGATTCACTTTAAATTTGATGTGTATTTAGTTTGACTTATATAAAATATAAGAAACATAAAAAATATAGGTATTACCAATGGACTACTAAGTTGACTATAAAGACTAAATTTTTCTCCACATTTTGTATAAAAAACAAAAACTACAATCGTTTATATTGGAAATGTATTAGGGTAGCGGTAGAGTAGGGTGGCGCATTTTTCACCGATAATTGGATTTTTTATGGTATATAGATTTGCATTAGCTCAGACTGTTAGGCTGGATGCCTTAAACGCATACATTTTCAATATAATTTATATTTATATGCACTGTACATTATATTATTTTTGTGTACAATCCATTATATACAATAATTTTTTTTTTTTATTTATTTAAAACATAGTAAACAATAAAAAACCACAAAGAATTGTAGTACCAACCCAAAACCCACTGATTTCAATTCTTTTTTTGTTAAAGTGGGAAAAAATATTAACGAAAAAAGTGCGGACACAAAATGTTCAAAATTAATTTTGTCAAATCCACTTGGGTAGATACAAATAAATAATTTTTTTATGTTTGATTGAACAGTCCAAGAATTGGTTTAACTTACATTATTAATTTTTATTTAAAATTTTGAAAGCCTTAAATATGTCCATATATTCAAACTTAAACAACACAAACGCAAAAACTCATAATTATCAAAATTTAGTATGCATTTATATCTAAAGAAACATTTATAGATTTTTTGATATTTTCCCGGTTGACTTCTTTGTAATCACCAAACTTAGTTAAATTTATAAATATTTGTACAATTAGATTTATTGGACTTAAAATGAAGTAAATATTTTTGTTCATTTATTCGATATTTTGCTTAGATAAAAGAATAATACCTACCTAAACCAGAATCATTTTATAAAATGGTTGAAATTTAATTTAAAATTAATATTTCTTAATTAAGGTTTTTAGTTTTACCACACTTACTAACTTAATATAGTTAAATAATTGGAGTAAATTAGGTCTGGATAAGGTAGTATATAAAATGTATATGTGATTATTTGATAAAAACAAGTTTGGAATTCCTATTATACAAACTAGACCATTCTGTACGCACCTTGAATTTTATATTTTTAACTTGTTTAATTTGTTTCAGGTAAAATGGGACCCAAAACAAATGTAAGCATAACATGTATTTTGTAAAAATAGGGTATATAAATAATAATAATAAAAATAATAATAAACTATTTTTATGGAAATGGTAGGTTAATGGGTCATTTCATATACTTTCTTGTGTTGTTTTTGTTTTTTCTGAATCAACAGTTTATTCAAATTTATTTCCTAAATTTAAATTGTTTTTTAGTAAGACGCCAAATCATGAGAAAATGCAGTTTTTTTTTAATTCACCATTTTTTATTATTTGTATTTGCTCTCTTTGTATTATATAGATAGACTTTATTTTTGCATTCAAAATCTAAAAAAGTTTCCTGAAGGCAGAAAACGAAATGTAAATAAAATAAAACACTCATTGGGCTGAAAAGTTACCAATAGTTAGTGTAAACCTTTATTTAATTTAATAACATTTAATATACATATGTTTGAAATTATAAATAAATACAAAAAGTTCGGACTCTTGTAACTCCTGACCAACCCTGTACATATGAAATGTGGCCGGCCTGTGAATATGCGTGGCACGATCCCTGGGGTATTTACGGAGTTTCGACTCCCTGCAAACGCAGTTTCTTAAACTTTTTTCCTTTTGCCTCCAAGGGAGGCATGACTGACTGACTGCGACTTTATAATGATGTCAGCTGCTCCCAGAGGTAGGCACTTACTTTATTCATTGCGTTTTATTAATGTTAACAGAACCGTTAACGATAAATAAATATCAAAGTAAATTATAAAATTGTATGTAGGCATTTTTCAAGTATTGGAGACAATGGATAATTGGCAAATAATATTTTCATAAAGGAGATAATAAACTTTTTTGGAACATTATTAGTTTTACCTGCTTATAGCATATTTATTGTAACATTGTTTTAATATTTGTAAATTTTGTAAACATTCTTTAAACAATAAATATTATTATTATTATTATTATATTGTGGTCTGTTTATACTGGACAATGATTCGATTTTCTAGGAATAAAATATATTTAAATCAATACCTAGTATTCTGCTGTGATAAAATGTCTGTAACATTTGCAAACAATTTTTCAGGTCAGCAATGTGAAGTTTTTATGTTCAGTGGGTTGCCCAATGCCATAATACCCTTGTAAAAACCCAGTTTTATTTTAATAATACATAAAAATTCTGGAGAGAATGGTATAAAAGTTATTATATTTATATAATTTTACAATAAATATTATAAATAAAAAGTAAAAGGGACGTGATCAACGTGGCCAGCGAAATTTCTTTAAATCGAAATAAAACCGCTAGTGGATAGACAATAAGTACACCGAGGCGTGGCCAGCCATCGTTTTAAGCCATATTAGACCGCTAGTGGAAAGATAATAATTATCCCAATAGTACTTTTCTCATTTTTGATATAACCCAGTAAACACACATACGTTAAATAAACGTTCTTTTAAACCGTAACACATTTTGTTTTTACGTATATTTTTAACGTACTATCAACTTCGCTGTCGCAGATTATAACGTTTAACAATACTAATAAATAAACGTTTAATTTTGGCCTTAAGAAAACGATCATTACATGTTTCGAAATGTTACATTTAAAACGTTTAATATACGTCTATTAAACTCGTAAATTAATGATTGTTTTGCCTCATTTAAAACGTTTATCTATACGTTATATTTAAATTCATATTAATGTCCTTTCTAACGTTAGCTCTATAATAAATAAAACTCCACAAATACTTGTTTTTACAACGTATTTATTAAACGTTCGTTTAACGTTAACTGCAACATGAATACAGGGTGTTTAAAGGTCGTCTTCAGGTGAATCATTTTTATCTATTAAAATTTAGCTGCTTCTAAAACACAAAAAGGAAATTTGTTAAACGATTTAAAATAGACTATTTTTCG